CGGGGGGGCGGGGAGGGGATGGCTAGGGAGATGGAGGCGGAGGAGAAGACGGGAGGTGGGAGGAGCCGCGCGGCGCGGCTGCGTGGGGGCGGGGGCGGCGGGGGCGGGGCGGGGCAGGGGCGGCGGCGCGGGAGGGGAAGGGGAGATGTGGCGAGGGAGCGGGAGGCGGCGTCAACATTGGGCGATGGCGGCGATGGCGGAGGCGGCGAGATGGTGGCGGCGGCGAGGGAGGCGGCGGAGAGGGAGGCGACGGCGAGGGGGGTGGCGGGGGAGGCGTTGGCGGGGGCGTCGGCGCACACCTTCGTTGCCCGCGATATTGTCCAGGCCGGTCGGGTTCTTGCCGTCCCACGCGACGAGGCCCTCGAAGATGAAGTCGTTGGTGACAAACTCGTTCGGCCGGTAGTCGTGCGGGCTGCGCGCGCGTGGGTGGGGGGGGGGGGGGGGGAGCTCACTGAGGTGGACGTGGGAGGTTGGAGCGCGCCGCATAGCCATCATCAATCCATCCCGCTACGTAGCTACGTAGCGCCGCGGCGGCGCGGGCGCACTTCAACGCGCCAATGTCGTCGCCGGTGGAGAAGAAGCCATTCTGTGTCTGAACCGAGACGACGAGTTTGGACGGCGGGGTGGCGGCGGCGCCCGAGAAGACGGTCAGCATCTGCCTTTGGTGATTGCTCAAAGGGGGCGTGACGCGAGCGTTTTCTGTGCTCAAGGCTGCACGTTCGGCCCGGTGCATTTTTTTTTTCGAACCTTTGTAAGACAGCACAGACTTGTAAGACAGCGGTGCAGCCCCGCACGGGTTTAGTGCGCGAGATGCGCTCGGGCGACGGAGGAGCCGGAGGCGGGCGGAACTCGGCCGGGGCGAGGCCTGACCGCAGCGTCTCGCGCCACGCAGCGCGATCAGCCGCGAGTAGATGCCAGCGCGCCGAGTCGATGCCGAATTTCGCGAGTGCCTTGAAGATCGACCGCCCGTAAGTCATGCGCGGCGCACCGATGGGCCGCCGGTGGGGCACCCACGCGGAGAGCATGCGGCGCGGCAGCCGGTCGTAGTCCATGCGCGCGACGTGGCCGAGCCAGCGCAGCTGGCGGCGGGCGATGTACATGTCGATCGAGTCGAGCCCCAGCCGCTGGCTGAGCTCACACGTCGAGATGTGATGGTCCCACATGTGCTTACGCGTGACTCGACACATGCCTCGCACGTGCAACGCGTGCATGCGGCGCAGCCGCCCGAGCAGCACCTCGGTCAGACTCCACGACTCGCAGCCGTAGAGGGTGATCGAGAGCACGACGGCCTCATACACCACACGTCGGGCTGCGCGAGTGACCGAGTTCGAGGCGAAAAGACAGCCGCGTAGCGCACCAAACGCCTTGCTGCCCGACACGATCCGCGCGTCCACCGCCCCGTTGTCGCCGCCGTGCCTCGTAATGATGTCGCCGAGGTAGGGGAACGAGGTGACGATCGATGGGCATAAAGCCGTAGTCCGACGAGGCGAGCTGGTCGACGCGGTCGTGGCTGTCGCTGCAGGCCCAGCGCATGTCAGTCGCGCTGCAGCTCGCGGCGGCGGAAGAGATTGCGACCGAGCTCAGGCTCGCCGCGGCGTCGGAGGACGCCGCCGTCGCCTAGACTCCCCTGCGTCACTACGTGCCTCCCCGTCTTTGTAGCCTGGCGTTTGTGCCCCGTTTGTGCCGCGTCGCGTGCTCCCGAGTTCATTTTATAAGCAAACCCACCCCGCCACACTTGCCCGTCGCCGCAACACAAGTAATCCGTGGCGTGCTCAGCTCGCGGTTGCGCACCGCTCGCCGTGGCCGAGCTTCCCCGCCCGCCGGCCAGTATGTGGGCTCACACGCAGGCCGCGCAGGTCATGCAGGCCAACAAGGTCAACCTGATGCAGATCGATATGATGCAACTCAGCGTCCTGCAGGCGCCACTTGCCATGCCTCACAACCTGCCCTCAACACCCACCCTCACCACCCGAACCTCGCCTGCTGCCGCCCCCGCCGCCCGCACTGCCGCCGCCTGCAACGGCGCCCGCACCTCAACGTCGTCTTCTTTTGCAGACGCGCATGGACAACATCACGATGCAATCCACGCTGACGATGGGGTTCGCACTGGCAATGTTTGGCGGCGCGACGCTGCTAAAATTTGGGTAAGGCGGGCCTGTGAGACGCGGTACACATATCCTTCCTTAAAACAGGCGAGACGCTGCTTCCGTTGGTCGAGGACGAGGGTGTGGTCTGTATCTACAAGACCTGGTGCGTGCCCTCCGCCATGAGAGGCGAGGAACAGCCAGGCCACTCAAGCTGTCTTCTGCAAGGTACCACCGCATGTTTGCGGTCGTCTTCTTCTTCACTGTCGTGGTGACCCTGAGCCTCAGCCTGCTCGTGGTCGTCGTCACTCTCGAGGTGAATCTCAAAGCAACACCCGCGGGCACCGGGAACCACCCTGCTGCCCACACCATCGACACAAAAATGAAGGGCGGCGTCCCAGGGGAGGCCGATTGGGAGCGACGCGGGCAGTCGATGATGTGATCCCACATCCTCTGCAGGTGAAGCAGCTCGCGCAGGAGGCGGCGCTGCTCGTCTCCACCAACGCGGCGGTAGCCCGTGCGAGGGTGCACGTCCGCGCGATGTCGCGGTGCTTCAAGTGCTCCATATGCGCGCAGCCGCAGCGAGACCAGGCGCTGCGGCGAAGAGACACCTAGGCGCCCAGTGTGTGCGCCTCGGGTTTAGGCGCCTTCTATTGCTCTGCGCTCTTCCTCCTCGTCCTGTATGTCGGCCTCCCCAAGCGGGTGCTGCAGCAGCCGCCGGGCGAGGACCATGAGAGTCAGGAGCGCATGCTTGCCTGTATTGACATCGAGGACCGGAGTGTCCTCGAATCAGCGCAGGACTTTGGCACGGTGCTTGCAGTCATGAACAGCGCGGTGGGACTCCCCTCGAGGTGCAGCAGGCGCGAAAGACTCCACTTCACGGACTATGATATTGTAACAGGCGGTGCTTACTGCCAACACTAGGAGACGCCAGCAGCGCCTTTCCACACCTTCTCCTATGAACAGGTGATGGTCATCTTCGCATGTGCCATCGCCATCGTGCACTGTCGAATCAAGCAGGCTTACGCGCCGCAGGCGCGAGCAGACTGGTAGCCGCGTTGCCCCGGTTTCACGATCTACACCAACCTGTGACCCACGCCTGCACCTAGCAGGCGCTGCTCGACTGGTCGCGGCAGCATCACGCCAAGATGCGGCAGCGCCACCACGCGACGCTCGGCGTCATCACGGGACGCGGCAAGGAGCCAGATGGGGAAAGCGCCCGCGGACCGGGGAGAATGCTGCTCTTCACGCCGTGTGCGCGTGTAAATAGGACCTGGAAGAGGACTCGTTCGACTCGACCAGTGATAGCCTTCCGCCGGCGCAGTATGGGCGCGCGATCTCTAGGAAGCGGGCTCGGCCCGCTGTGCGGAAACCTGCGGCCGTAGAAACCGGCACTGAGCGCCTCCGCATGAGCAGGGGTCGCGGCGGACCGAGAGGATGAAAATAATTTTATTTTTTGAGCTTAGCCTTCGATGTTATGAAACAACGCAAGGCGGACATGGCATATCGCTCTCGGGCCCACAGACATCCCGCACACTCGCCGACACACACACACACACACACACACACACACACGCCGCACCTGCCGCCCGCATTTTATTTTTTCCATTGTATGTTCGCCGCGCACCTTCGACATGGCTGAACCGTCAACCAGCGCGCTGCTGACGGGCAGCCGGCACGTTGAAGGCGTCGCCCTCATCACCTCCGCTGCACTTCTCTTCGGCATCCTCGCGGCTGTTGTTAAGTCGGTAAGCCAACGCCACAGATGCAGCAGACACCTCCCGCAATGAAAGGCCTCTCTGAGGACCGCATGGACTGCCGTCTGCCACAGCCCGATCACCGATCCTGCTCCGCTGCCAGGTCGCGCTGCCCACTCTGCTCAAGATGCAGATCCGCTCTCTGCTTGAGTGGCTGATCTGCCTCGCCGCCGCCGCCTTCTGCCGCGAGACGCGCCGAAGAGGCGGAGACACTGGCGCGGCGATGCGCGTCTACGACAACAGCGGGGCGGAGGCTCGGCCGTCGACCTTTGCCAAGTGTGGCGGCGGCGAGGGCGGCGAGAGGGAGGCCTGGGCGAAGCTGCTATTTGGGCCGCGGGAGCTGTCTGGTTGGTTGGTGCTGCGCGCTTTTCTCTACTGGGTCTTCCTCTGCTGCTGGTGAGCTGGCGCTGGAGGCGATGGTGAACGGAACTTTCTCGGAGCCTTCTCGGAACCTTCCTTTGTAGGTGGCTGGCGCTGGAGGCGATGCCCCTCGGCGATGCGACGACGGTCGTCTACATCGCGCCCGTCTTCACAGCGCTGTTCGCGCGCCTATTCTTGGCGGAGCGCACGGGCGCCTAGAAGCGGAAGATCTCCCATATCTCCAAAAGTATCTCCCCATATCTCGTGCCCTAGAAGCGGAAGACGGTGGTCATGCATTCCAACTAGTGCTCGAGAGGACACTTCCGCTGCATTCGGCCGTACTCAGTTGTGTCCGCTCTACTCGTTCCGCTCTACTCGTACCCTCAAACACACGCGGCGCTGCGAGTACACTGCACGATGCCATACTCACGCCCCGGTGTTGGTGTATTCAGCATGGAGGCACCGCACACACACACCTCACCGCTCACCCCCACGCGCACCGGAGGGCTGGAGAAGTGTGCCTCACCACGCTACCTTAACACACACACACACACACCTTAACACACACACACACACACACACACACACACACACACACACACACACACACACACACCGCTCACCCACGCGCACTGGGCCTTGCACTTTGAATGCCGTGGGGCTCCTGACGTCAGACGTGGAGACGCGAGGGACTAGCCTGGCCCTTGCCCCACCACCTCGTGTGTGTGGAGAAGTTTACCTGACCTTACCTTACCTTATCCGTAGGCATGCACGCCTACTTCGCGCTGGTGGTGCTCATCGATGCCGCCGGCCTCCTCCTCCTCACCCGCCCCTCCTTCCTTCCCTGCCCACCCCGCATCTGCGCAGCTGCCAGCGACGCCGCCGCCACCGCCTCCGCCCCCTCCGCCGCCACTGCTACCGCCACCGCCGCCGCCGCAACGGAGTACGCCTATGGCGCCGGCGCCGCCCTCGTCGCAGCCGTCGTCGCCGGCTTGCTTCCTGTCTGCACCAACAAGTCTGGCGGGGCGCCGTGGACGGCCGTGAACCACGTGAGCTGTGTCTTCTCGGCTTTTGTCTTCACCCCGCTCGCGCTGGTGGGGTGGGTCGACGCCCGAGGTACACGGAGCCTTCTCGGAGCCTTCTCGGAACCGTTCTCGGAGCCTGCCTGCAGGTGGGTCGTCGCCGACGCAGGCACGCGGAGACCGACCGAACAAATAGAGAGACGGCCAGACACGCTGCATGACGAGATCACTTTTGGGACACGCCGCATGAGGAGATCTACTTTTGGCCCCATTTCTTTCTTCTTTGCTCCAGGCGCCGCCGGTCAGCTGGCGGACGGCGTGGCTGCGCTGCGCTCGCCGCTGCAGTGGGCTCTCCTCGCCGCCATCTCCGCGGTGTCGTCCGCAGGACTGGCGCTGCAGACCCTCGGCTACCAGCGCGTGCGAGGCCCTAGAAGCAGAATCTCCCATATCTCCCCATATCTCGGGCCTAGAAGCAGACTCCGTCTTCTTGTACCCCAACCCGCACTCGAGAGGACACGGACTCCACTGTATTCGCGCGTATTCGGCCTCGCCCGTAGTCGGCCTCGGCCGTATTCGGCCGTATTCGACTGTATGCACTGTGTCCTCGCACCCCCCGTACTCACGCGGTGCTATGACTACACTGCAAAAGACCGGTCTTCCCGAGGTCAGCGTACTCACACAAAGGCACACAGTCCCGGCCCCGAACTCGCACGCCGGCACAGCCACAGTCAGACCTCCCCATATCTCCCCATATCTCCCCATATCTCGACACCCTCCAGCTCGTCCGCGAGCTCGAGGCCTTCTCACGCGTGAGAGAGCCTCAGCCCATGCTCCAGCTGGCTCTCAAGAGCGTGAGAGAGAGCACGCGTGCAATGCACCCATCGACAACACGCAGCACGGCGTCCCAGGGCGTTGGCGTGTTCACCAGGTGCGGGACGTCGCGATGCTACCACACCACCCACGGGACCGAACCCACACTGGATTCGAGACTCTGGAGGTATGGTACGCAGGTGCGGGACGTCGCGTCGGCCTCGCTGATGAACATCCTAGAGATCCCCTTCTCGTACGGGCTCCAGGCGCGCGCACCCCCCCCCCCCCCACCACACCGCTCACCCACGCGCACCGGGCCTTGCACTTTCAATGCCGTGGGGCTCCTGTCGTCTAGACGTGAGATGTTGTGTGTGTGTGTGGAGAAGCTTTGTTTACCTTACCCCTTCCCTTACCTCCAGGCGCTACTCTTCCACGAGCCTCTCGAGCCGCTCGGCCTCGGCGGCGTCGGCCTCATCGCGTGCGCGACGGTGCTCAACCTCACCGCGCGCGTGCGGCACTCGCGCGCGGACGCAGAGCGAGCGCAGCGGGAGAACTTGGTCTGTGTGTGATGGAGGAGGAGCAACGGCCATCGAGGAGCAACGCACCTTGCGGATAGACAGAGGTGAAGAACGGCTGAGCCATCAGCATTTTGTACAAGCGGGGCTGGGAAGCCGTTTTCTTGTACGTGACACCTGACACAACATTCAACAAATAAAGTCCAGTATTGTGGACCCGGGTCCCAATATTCGTCCGGTCCCATTCGGGTCCCATTTGCGATCGTGAAATGTCACTAAGTTCGTGCAGATGCATGTGCATTGATATGTGTGAGCTGCAGGCGTCTGGCGAAAGGACACAACACAAATGATCCCCAGCCCAAGCAGCAGCCCAAAACATATACACGTACAGGGACACACCTCACACGAGAGACGAGATATAGTACAAGCTGCAGCACATGCACATGCACATGCACGTGCACACATACACATGCACATGCACACATGCACATGCGCACATGCACACATGCACACATGCACACATACACATGCGCATGCGAGATGTCACGAAGGTACAACCAACAACCGAGGGGAAGCAGCGTGGCAAGGAGCAGAGCGCGACTGCAACGCTACACGAAGGCGCTGAAGTCGTCGCCCGCCATGCCGCAGCACAAGTCCGGCCCTCGCTTCGCACCACCCTTGTCGTGCGAGGCGTCCGCAAACCCGTCGCTGCAGCCGTGGCCCTCCTCCACCGGCTCCGGCTCTGCCGTGCCTCCGGCGTGCGCCTTCTCCTCCTCCTCCGCCTCCTGCTGCCCTCGCTCGCCCGCGCGGTCAGCAGGTGCCCAGTTTCCCGTGCGGCGCGACGCTCGCCGCTCGCCACGTCCTCCTCGCTGCCCCGGCGTCGGCGGCAGCTCTGGCGGGTGGCGCAGGATGTACGCGCGCGCCATGCCAGCGCCGACAAGGGCATCGACCGCCTGCTCGTCCGCGGGAGGCACCGCGGCGAGGATGAGCGCCACTTCACCCTCGTACTTGGCCGGGCGGGGCGTCACACTGCAGCTGCACGCCTTGGAGAGGATGGAGCAGACCTCGTCGAGCGGCAAACCCGGGAACGCCCCTTCGACATGCACCCAGCCATGGCGCGCGCCCACACGCCCGCGGCCGCGGCCGACGTGATTGCGCTGCTGGCTGCTGACTTCGATCAGCGGAGGCAGGCCGGGGCACGCCCTGCCGTCGAGCTCGTGGGCGGCCTCCAGGCGCGCAGCCAAGAGGGACAAGACCTCCTTCAAGCCGATGCGCAGCGGCGCGCCCGAGAGCGTTGCGCAATCAGACACGTCGGGTGGCGGCGGTGGCGGGTTGGACCTGAGGCGACGCTGCAGCGACTTCGGCAGCGGCAGCTTTTGCCATCCGGACCGAAGCTCTATGGCGAGGCGATCGGGGTCCTCGGCGAGCGTCGGCTTCGCCTCTAGGACGTGGTCCACGATCTCGCCCCAAGCCGGCGCGAGATTGTTGGCACGGCACCAGAGCGCCTTGAGCCAGCCGGAGAGGGCGACGGCCTCGCTCAGCGCGTCGTTCGGAGAGGTGAGGCCGGCCTTTTCGATCGAGTGCATCAGATGCGCGCGCACCTCCTCGCTTGTGGCGAAAGCCCGCAGACCAAGAAAGCCACGCAGGTCAGCGGGCACACGCAGTCCCAGCTTGACGTCCGGCAGCAGCTCGAAGGACGACCGAGGCCGCGCCCCGGGGGAGCGATCCGCCCAGACTGTAATGACGTCCAGACCTTTCGCATCGGTGACGACAGTCACGCCCGCGTGCCGATGCACAACGCTTCCATCTGCCTGCGCTGCCGCCTGGCCGCGCAAGACCGTGCGCTGCATCTCGGTTCTGCTCCGCACTCCGCAGATGCGAGTGCACCGAAAGATTCAGCTGAACTTGAGCGGTCGCCGCCGTCGCAGCCGAAGATGCCACCGAAGGCGCGGCCATGTCCGATGCTGTGTCGTCATGGCACTTTGAGCTTTGCGGCACAGGCCCGTCGTGCAAGCTGAGGGCCTTCGCAGAGAGAAAGACGTCTTTGGCGCGTGGTGCGCCTTTGCTCTTGCCCGCACTGCCTTGCTGCGGCTGCGCCCTTCGCGGCTCCCTCGCTCGTCCGCTTCTCATGCACGGCGTGAAGCGGGACTCGGATACAACTCAGGGTTCCGGCTCCTAGCCAGATAGGGGGTCTGCCCCCTACGGTTAGACCCCATGCAATAGGTAGGTAGGTCCGGTTTTGACCGCCCCAGAGGGCCCCGCAATAGGTAGGTAGGTGGTGGTGGTGGGCGGGGGGGGGGGTGTAAAAAAACCGCTTCGCTGCGCGGGAGACTCTGTCGAGGGAAGAGAGTGCCGTTTTGGAGCCGTCCAACGCCTCGAGAGCCCAGTAGGCCATGCTCTGGCGGGCTCGCGAGCGGCGCGCACCGCGGTACAAGCCGGCGCGCGGCGGGCGCTGGGAGCCTATTCACAGAGGGCTAACGGGCATTTTTTCGCTTCGCTGCGCGGCCTGGGAATAGGTAGGTAGGTGGGGCACGGAGCCTGGCGATTGGCGCCCGCAATAGGTAGGTAGGTAGGGCGTTTTGGTGCGAGTCATAGGCAACAGACCCCCTATCTGGCCAGGAGCCGGAACCCAGTGTGTCCGAGCGCCTCTTTCACAAGAGGCGCAGCAAAAGCAACAGTGCGCTCTGTGCCCCAACGCGATCTGGCGCCTCCGGCCTGCTCCTGCGCGGTCCCTTTCCATTCCCACTGGCCCAAAACGCTCTGCAGGCACCGATGGTCCCCCTGGGGGGCTCAGTTGAAGATCGGTGGATACAACTGTACGAAGGTGGTAACCCTTACCACCTCGTAATGTGAAAAACTCGGACCCACGAAGACAAGGAGCGCGCGCCAATGGCCGCCTCCGTGACACTCCCACCTCCTGGGCCGGCGCGGGAGTTTTACTGCCGAGTTTCTCCCGGCCGGCCGCCTCCTGACACGCCCACTGACCGAGCCCATCGAAAAAAATTCGGCGCGCCGCACTGCTCTGACCCCTGCTCGCCCCTGCTCGCCCCTGCTCGCCACTGTCGCCTCGGTTGCCGAGGCTGCCGCGCACCCGCGCGCTACGCGACTACGAACTGCACCAGCTGGGCTCGAACCAACGACCAAAACGTCCCCGACCCGAACGCTGCACCAACTAGGCCACACCGCAGGCTCGATATGCAATACGCACAAAACTGGCCGCTCATAAAGCACTACTCATTTGCCGAGGCCACGCGGCGCCCCTCCACAGCCAGCCTACCCTCCTATCGCGCCACTCGAAGCCCCGCGGCCGCCTCTCGCCTACCGCGCTGCCCTCGCCTGCCACCGCACCGCCCGCGCTCCAGCCTAACCAGCTCTGCATCTCGCAACACACACTTGACAGGGACAGACCAGGCGCAGGAAAAGGGAGCGGGGCCCGAATCCAAGGGACCACCCCGTCGGGCGGAGGAGCTGTGAACTCAGGTCCAGCAGGAAGGCTGCTGGCTCCTGACTCATCCCCCAAATCCCCCACACCTTGGCGGCCTGAAACCTTACCATTCCGACACCTCACACACACCCCTCCCCTAGGGCTAAGCAGTGCGCGAGCCCACCCGACTTCAGGCGAGACGTTGACCACTCCTTTGGAACAGTTCTGTCAGTGGCTGCACTAGACGCCCACAGAGGCGCGCGGCGCGGGCAGATGACTAGGGGAGAAAAAGCGGAGAACCTAGCTCGCTGGGAGATGTGCGCAACCTAAAGACGGGAATAGGGGAGAAGTGTCAGTGTGAGGGGAGGGCGTAGGCTGGCGTTTTTGCCTTTGAAAACTGAACAGTTTTTTTTTACCACCTCGTAATGTGTGTGGAGAAGTTTACCTTACCCTTACCTTGTACCTTACACCACCAGAGTCCCCGGCGCCCCGCCGGTGAGCGGCG